TACATGTTCCCTTTTTTTTATTTTTTTATACTATGGAGCTTATATACACACCAGAGTTTTGAGAATAAAACATAAAACTAGGTCATAGACTTTGTAATACAAAGCTTGTGCACACTCATTGTCGACAAAACTATTGTTGTAGATTGTTATGTTATTAATAAATGACATTATACATGCCGACATACAAGAATTCTCTTCCTTCTACCTTAGAGTGTCGCTCGTCAACTTGGTGGTGTAGCTAAGTTGTTGTCTATGAATTTGTGAAAAGGTCCAACCAGTTCATACGAGCTTGGAATAAAAACTCTAGCAGTTTAGGCGAGTTTAACTGGAAGAGCTGGCTTGAAGATTAAGATTGGATAGACTCGTTCTAAAGAACTCACAAGAATATTGGTGTACTTTAGAGATGTATTTTGATGGTACTCACAGAATCCTTCTAAGTGACAAGAAACTCTGTGGCTTGTCACTTTTAAAAGTATGTGTAATGAGTACGATTGATTGGGTTGGTGCCAGACCATTGAATGCACAACTCATGGGTTCAATCCATTAAGCTCATGAGGTGCATTTTGTATTTGAGGTTTTTTGTTGCTTAAAAAAATTACTTTTAGATATACATTTCGTTCCCCGACTTTATTAGCTCTTCAAAAGGATAATACGAGAAGGACGGGAGAATAATAAAATAAGTAATTCAGGTTCACGACTTGAGGGATGAGATGACCGCAACAGAAGTCCTGCCCTATCAGGCTTATCTGGAGACATATCTATTCATATTTAATCAAATGGTGCTTTCCATTATCAATAAGTTTTGTGGGCTATGCCTTGATGAGGATTCGCGGGAGTTTACAATTGAGCTTAGATTTTCTTTCCTTTGGGGTCTCAAAGTTACATTTGTAGGGAGTAATCACGATTACGCTTAGAAAATGGTGAATTATTTCTCATTCAGAATCCTTCATTTTCTAGATGATGGAAGCAACTCATTCTGTGATTATGACTCACTGATATTTCAGGAGGATTTTTTTTTTGTCGAGTGACCCTGAGTAGAAGCGCATATTGTTATGAGAAATAAGACTTATTTCAATCATTAGTAGGTATACACTCTTAAGAAGTGGTGGACTGAAATGTGAAAATTTCAAAACTTCCCTATTTTGAAGGGTGTGTTGCAGTTGCATTTTTTTGATTGTCAAAGAATAACTATCAAATCATTTAGAACAAGTACTTCTAAAAAAATTTAGATCCAGTTATTATACTTGTAAAAGTTGGTGTCAGATCACCACCTTTTGATTCACTGAATGACTATAAGGTTCCAACATAATCATGTTCTCAGAGTTAAGTCCTGGTGATTTTGCGTTGGCTTCTTTCATCTTTTTTTTATTATTGTGGTTCTACGCTTCTAATTGATCTTCTAGTTGTTCTTTTACAAATAAATATGTTGATCAATGGTTGGAGCTTGTGACTAATCTCAATGATTCCATTATGAAAGATACTGAGGTAATAGAAGATTGAGTCATAGAGGCAGTGGAGAAAAATCGTAAGGATGAAGGAGAACCACTTCAGAAGGTAAAATCTACTCCTTTATTCATGTAATCCCTTTATATTTCTTGATTATTGCTCTGTGTTTACATGTGGATGGGTTACTTTGGAACTGGATGAGGATAGGGATAAAATCACGCCATTTGAGAAAGGTGTTGGAACCACCTTGCTGGCTTTCTCAAATGTTGACCTCCTAAACCACCTTGCTATCAACTTTTCAGGACTTGGAGAAGACCAATTAGAAGCTTGTGTGAGCTTTGGAAGAGCTCGCAGAAGTTCAAGACGAGCTATTGACCATGAAAGATAAGATGGTGCATCTTCAAGTTAGGTAGTTTGATGTGCAAGATCATATTATAGACCCACAGACGACATGAAGAAGGTCAAGGAACATAATCTTTCTTTGGAGGATAAATTAGCGAGGAATTTTTCAGAGATCCATAAGTGCCTTATAGAATTAGAAGTAAAGTCAAGGTTGTTGCTTCTTTGTTAGTTAGTTGAATGGTCCAAATCTGGATTTTTGATTGCAAAAGGGAAATTAGTCATGAAAAAAACTTATGTAGTCTGTAAAGATTGATTTGAATGATGTAAAAAGTCAAGATATATGTTTATTTTACGAAAGACGGTGATTGTATTTTTCTTTAAATTTTCTGTATTTTAACATTTGATATGGAATATCTTTGAAATTTATTATTTTTTCTTCGAAAGATAACCCATATAATTCTCTATGTCAAGGCATGAACACAACACCCTTATGATGATGACTAATTTATTACGATATAAATTCTAAAACTATAAATATCTTCCTGACCTATTATGCCTTTTTTACTTTTGAGACATACTTCTGCTTTTACCTTCCCATTTACACAAGGTTTACATTTCGAACTTAAAGGTAAGCTACAGTCTTCATTGAAGGCATTCTTTTAAAATAATATTTATTTTGTATGGCATCTACTATCTTGACCATTGAAAGTCTCAATGGAGTTGGTTTGGGTGTTTCTTAGTAGGGTAGTGGCTGCTCGTCATACTGAGTAGGACATTGGCCAGGATACCAATCTTGACTCATTTGGTGGTGCATTTTATCGACCGCCTTATGGTCATGGGGCGATCGAGAATCTTCTTAATGAGGACAAACAATAAAACATGAATTGTGTCTCGATTTCCACCCTTCACCTTTGGAAGTACATTTCCACGGTTTACGAGTAAAGGATTCTATTTTAGAGGAGGCGCGGTTGGAATTATACTCATCATTAGATATGTTGTTGTTGGCCAGCTTCGACAACTCAACTAGTGTCTTTGGCCTATGCATAAAATATAGGGGAAGGGTCCTTGCTTCAACCCTTAAACTAAGGCCACATGAGCAACCACGGGTTCCAGATCCTACGCTTCCAATATCTCCTTATGAAAGTAGGTGATGAATGAGTGCAGCCACTCACTCTTATTCTTAACGGAGCTATAGAAGGGCCTGCAAGATTTTCTGATGCTTCTGGCCTTTAGCAAATTGTGCCACAAATATACTTGTGAAATCAGTGAATGACGTGATTATTCCTTGTGGTAATTCATTGAACTACCTGAGGGTAGACTCCCTAGCGTTGCAAGAAAAAAATGATATTTCAACTAATTGATGATCCTCAGCAAATACATGATGGACTCAAAAGAAGCTATGTTGTCGGTTGTATCGGCCCGCCCTTGTAGGACCCCAATATTAGGGTCTTGAATTGTTCTAGAAGCTCGACCTCAAAGAATCACTGTGATAATGCATTCTCGGGTTGAGCAAGTGCCTAAGTGCACTCAAACTGATGTCAATCGATCAATGTTGACCAAATACAATCAGGGTATTGGGAGTCGCCTTCACTTTCAAAGACTAGACAGACTCTTCTGTTGTTGAGCATCCAACCTTCATCCCAGGGCTGCTGATTACTTTCGCGGTTGAACAAGACTCGAATGACTTCCAACATCCGATCGTTCAACTTCTGGATTTATTAGACCACGAATTCTCTGTTGAACTTCATGTAGATCATCCTTGCTATGAGGTTCATCTCCTTGTGCTACTCTTCTTTTCAATTTTGGGATGATCCATGCTCATCACCTTTTTTAGCATGTTGAATCCAGATTTATTCGTGAATCACACCTAAAAAATAGAGCGTAAATAATAAGAGAGTGTGTGGGAGAGACGGAGATAGAATGAGAAAGAAATGAACAATAATTAATCTTGTCTTACTCATAAAATATTACATGTATAAGCTTTTCATCCATCTATTTTTTGGCTCGATCGACTAAGATTGATTGGCTTTGGGCAACAAGTTTTGCTTAATGGATTGAGCTTCCCATGTATTAGTTGATCAAATGATCTAGCCTATCTGTTAATCCTTGATCTCTAGCGAGGAAACTCTAGGGCATCCATGTGATGGTTGGAGATACCATGAAATTGAATTTTCTCTTTGATCAACTCTTTAATTTTCTTGTAGTGATAAGCTCGAATGCTCTTTTCTCCCTTCTGATTGAATGACCTGCATTTGAACCATTCAATCATCTTTTTACCTACTTCATGGTCTAGTCAATTTTACCCTTTCCTTAGCTTACCTCCTTTGCTCGGTCGGTCAACTGACTCACTCTCTTCTGATATTGAGCCAACCTTTGCTATACTCTTCCCTTCTTAAACTATTAGGTCTCTTTAAAATCAATGGCAATAAATTTTTTACATATCTTCATGAAAATCTCAACTCAAATACTTGGTTCAAAAAATTAATCCAAATTCATATTTAATCAAATAATTTTATTGTCGGCATAATTATTGTTAATTAATTATAAAGTGGAGAAATTTTATCTTATTTTCTAGCATTAAAAAAAAAATGTCAAGATTTACTCAACATTAGAAGCATGAAATTATTACAAAGCGGCTACTTACACACACATCACCTAATTACTATGTATTTACATGCCTTAATTTTTACATTTATAGCACCCATATCTTTATAATACCACCATTTCAACCTTCAAGAAGCAAAAGACACGTTTTCAGCATAGTTAAAATGGAATGTATACAAAATATGAAGTCTAGGTGTTCAATATGTAAATACATAGAAATTCAGCGGCATGCATATAAATCTTCATACTTCAAATTAGACTCTCTATCCACAAGAATGACAGCTGACAATGTAACCACCAAGCAGAACATATTTTCAGTGGTATTTGAAGAGTTACATCTCAGGTGTACTACACAAGCAACTCTGATTGCTCTTAGCAATTCAATTGATAAAAAAACCCCTATAATTGCATGCCCCACAACACTTTATATATTTGCATCTCCAACACAAAAGCATATAATTAGGGTGACAATGTAAAAGTTAAAATTCAGGTAGCTCAGAAATGTACTTACACATCAGAACTCATCCACAGAAGGCCATGGACATCATGAAACCATAACAGAGCATCAGCTTAGCCACACAAAACATAGATATCAAAATCATCATCAGAAACAGGAAAGTAAACGCAATATAACATACAAAATATGGTAAAAATCTCATCAAAACAGTTCATCCACTCCAAATGAAACCCCTAACATTTGCTGAACCAAAATAGGGAGGGAAATAAGATGCAAATATTGTTGAAAATTATTATGTAGATATTACCCATTTAAAATAAAATCCTTCTTCTAGTGCTTCTTATCCTTCAAAGGGCCCCTTGGGATTTTACTCAGAACCTTGGCATCAAATACAGCATACTGTTTCTTGATTTCTCTCGTTGCCTTCTCCCCAAATGAGTCTATTTTGTCCTCATATTTCTCATACACCAAAGGCACAGTATGCAGAAGCACAAATACTGCAAATCACATCATAAATAAAAGAAAGAAAATCAAAACATAAAAATAATTCAAGAGGGATTTGCATACATACCACTAAATTGATATAAATATGTATATATTTAATTAACACTGGAATGCTGGAGGAGCATTTAAATGTATGCCACACAATTCTAATGTATTTACCAAACCTAACATGCAAACATTCATATTTGCATGCATACCACTCGGATATTAATATCATGTCAAAAATACCACAAGTATTATCTTTTTAAAAGTGAAATACACCTTTCTCATGCATAGGTTTATGACGCCAAGTTGGTATAAGTGTAAAGATCAAAATTGGGGTGTTAAATATGTATAAATACATAAGAAGTGTGTGTGCATGTATGTAAATTTATTTTTACTTTTATTATTGTGTAGGTGACCATGACAATAACTTCAAAGGCTTTAACCAACCGAACTAGTTGATAATCACAAATATCAGTTTGAGTTGAGCATGAGCAGCCTGATTCATACTTCAAAATTTATATTTATTCGCATAAAGATCATAACTTCTAAATGGCACAAAACTATCAAAAAAATCAACTCATCTAGCATGAAATATATATTTTCATGTATACATTTTAATATTTTGGATGTCATTTAGATACTAAGCTGTTAAATAAGTAAAAAATAAAGATCCAGATGTTAGATGTATAAATATAAAAAAATTAAATGTTATGCATGTAAATCTCCCTATACTTTATAAACAATAGCATATCATACATCAGAAGTTTACCTATATAAAACAGAGTAAGGAAACTGCAGGAGCTCCCAAAAATGGAAATAACCCATAAACCAGCAATCACCTGAATAAATCAAGAGCTTGAATGGGGTCAAACAAAAAATTTAAAAAAAAAAAAGAGCACAAAATATCTAGTAGTAATCAGTTCAGCTGGTTTGAGCATAAACATACAGCAAGAAATTTCTTCAAATCTCGTCCCAAAGCAATTTCTTTCAAAGTAGCGAGGGACCGGTTGATCTCGAACCTTAGAGAAAGCGCAATGTTCACCGCCAGATCTTCAGGAATGCTCACTTGTGGAATATGAGGTGGAGATCTAAAAAAATTAGGAAGTATTCATTATTTAGAATAAAGTGTCAAAATAATCCCCATGCTATTTACTTAAGAGTCATTTTAGATCTAGATTATATAAAAGTGCCAAATTGGTCCTCAGAATCTTTTAACATGGGCTAAGATAACCCCCCACTAAAAGAATTTGGGGACTAAATTGACATTTTTATGGATTCCGGGACTAAATGACTATCTACAAAGAGTCAAGGGACTATTTTGATATTTTTCTCGATTTATTGAAACAATGTTGTGAGCAAGAAATAAATCACAAGGTATCAATAATCTGAACCATATATTACTTGTTGATAAATGTGGTTGCATTAAACCAAAGAAATAGGATTGCCAGCGTGAGTATAAGGGAATGGCAAACCAGAGTGAGTAAATGGTATTCCATCAACTCAAACAGAATCCAGATAGCAGTAGCTCCACCGAGTACTGCAGCTGAGGCCTTCTTATCCCTCCATAGAAACAAATCTGCCTCTGAAAAATATCCAAACAAATATTTCATATTTAAAAAAAAAACCTATTAGCACTTGCTAGTAGTGTTACATTATTTATTGAGATATGCACTCTTTAGAAGAAATTAGAATCAATCGCTTAAAAATAGAATACATAAATTCCCAATCAAATGGAAAAAAAGTTCTAACATACCCTACAAACTAAAATTAAAGAAGACAATGATATGAATTGAGTGGTATGCACGTAGACCTAAGAAAATGACGCTTTGTGGCTCTTGGGAAGCGCCTTTGGTAAGAGGCTTCCATCTCCTATATGGTTACCCAGTTGCAGGTTGATAGGGGAAGTGGGTTTGCATTTTGATGTTCTTCGTCTTATCCCCATACGCTTTGGTGAAATATCAAAGAGCACAAAAGAGCATCAAACTAAAATAGAATTTCAATCAATTTAACCAACCTTGACCTCATGTACTAAAATATTCTTAATGAGAGAGCGAGAGTTTATTATCTAGTATTGCACATAACTCACAAACACGCACAGATCAACTGAAAGCAACACAGTAGAAAGATGAGATTTTTCGCATTAAAAGTCCAATAAAAGGAGCAAAACAAGAAAACCTAGCCCAATTAAAATAATTCCGCATCTGTCAATTAAGAAAATGATGCCTTTTTTGATAATTAGAGAACACATTGATATAACATAACAAATATGCCCATGGAAGACAACTCTTATTGTGTTAATAGGAGTCAAATGATGTTACAATTGTCATCGGGCGACGATGGATGATCAACTTGGTCAAAGAATGAGTAACCAAAAGGACAATCATGGATCTCAAAAAATGGTTGATAAAAAATATCAAAAATCAAGTAACAAAGGATGATCCTCATGGTCACTCACCTAATTGGAAAGAAAATAAAACTTGGTTGCTCTCCTGACAGGATAGCAGACTAGATCACTAAAATGGTGGGCATCGAACATCAAAAACCAGCCATTATTATCTCTCCAACAAAGGACGGCAAAGAAGGTTGAAAGTAAACATAATAGGTGGTTGATTTGGTTGTTCGTCTAAATGAGGGAAATCAATCAATCAATCTAGAATATGGGGCATCAATTTTCGATGGTTGAGGACATCGAGCATCAAACCTTGTCATACATTGATCAAAACAATAAGGAATAACATGAATTTGAGTGACAATCTAGAATACAGAAACCGAGCTATCGAGTTAACAAGATTAGATGGGCGTTGGTAATTGGCAAAATTCGTGAGATGATTAAATAAGAAACGTCAAAGTTAAGCAATGATGGGCGAAAAACTTGATCATTCTCTTGTTATGCATCAAACAACCGTGAATATAAGCATCAAATGCCAAATACCAACATTAGTATGTGTCAGACAACTATAATAGAAACTTTCCCTACTAAAATATTCCACTAAATGAATAGAACGTGACCCATTTATAAATTTATGGAGGGGACTTCCAACCATTTATAGTAAAACATCACGCTATTAGATGATTCAAATAAAACCCCTTCGATCAAAGAAAAAAAATAATAAATAAAATAAAATAAAATCCCTTTGATCATGCCACACTTTCTGCCATATCAGTGTTTAATGAATTAGGAATTTAACAATTTTGGGCTAATAGATTTTGGTTATGAGCATGCATAATTCAAAAGACATTTGAAACCCCAACCCCCACTCAAAAGTCCGAATAGCCTCAAAAAAATTTTGAATCCTAATTAGACCCATTTAGAATTAAGAACAAGTTTTCTTGATATCATTAAGTTTGTCCATTGAATACCACTATCCAGACTAAGTTTCTGATTCATATTAGAGTGCTTAAAAAATTGCATTAAAACTAGTACCTGATTAAGTGATTTTTTTTTGGTGGCATATATGTCGTCCTATTACTAGAAATCAAAATCTTTGAGCCTGAATACAGTTATAGTTTTTCTAGTTTTGGCATTTTGAAGCACATTTTCCAATCACAGTTTTAAATTTACATTCCCGAAGACAGCTTTTAAAGATAATTAATTAGAAAAATAATAATGAAAAAGTTATCATTCAACAAACCATATTTATTGTTGGCAGTTTTTCTTACTACAAAAGTTGATAAAAAGCTATCCAAAACAAAGGCTAAAGTTTGTATCGTAGCCCAATCCACCGACTGGTTAGATGTTGGTAATATAGGCAAAATGTGCATGTGCAAACTTGCGCAGTTGCAATTTTGGTTTTATTTTAAATAAATTTCAAAAACAAATCCTTGAATAAAAGGAATGTAATGTAGCCCTTTAACTTTGTTTTTCAATAATTAACTAAGGTGTTCCAAAAAAAAAACAAAAAGTCTATTTTTCTCCGAATTACTATCACACTTCTATATAGGGGTATATAGAAGAGACCACAAATTTCCTCTCCAAACTCTAGTTTTCCTTTAAGCTCTAACTTTCCTCCAAACAAAGCCAAAAATTGTCCTCCAAAAGGAGGAAATTGTAATAGGTGACTGAGGTTAACTGTTCTTATTTTCCCGCTCTAATCTTCCACTAAAAGAGAGATCAATTGTCCCAATTGCACGAGTTTGAGCTAAGATGGTGAAGGTTTTTGCCCCATTTTAAGGCTTGGAATTTTTTCCTTAAAAAAAAAAAAATTGATCATTTCAAAATTTAATGTCTGACAAGATGGAGAATGATGAACTGATCTGTCATCAATAGCGTGGTAGCCAGATGATTACAAAAGGAGGTTCCTCCAAGGTAGATGGTTTAACTGAGAGTTAAATTTTTATTATTTTTTAATAAATTCTTTAAGGCTTTTTTAACCTTGACATTTTGACCAAATTTTTTTGTTGCAATTTCATTCATATGCGTACACTTCTACAAAAAATTTTCATTACAAGACATTGTTGCTCAACTTTTGGAAGAGAATATGAATTTAATTTTTTTTATGTTGAAATTTTATGTTTACACATATGACAATTTATGTGATCAAACTAACAATAACAAAAAAAAAATTAAATAGATTGTGTGATGAAGATACATCAGGAAGCTCCATGTAACTCATATGCATGTCTAGTCACTGATTCAATAATAACTAACCATATATTCTTTCATCTAATACTTAGTTAAGTAGTTCTTATAAGTTAACCATTTTAAAAAAACCCATAAAAAGATGTTGGATTTTTTTTAAGCTAATTGCATGATCGATCGCTTGGAGAAGAGCTGATGTGTATACGATACGAAGACTCCAAGAAATGGGTATAGCTCAGTGTTTCTACTTAAAATTTATTATAATATTGTTCGAGCTATCATTAACATTAATCCAAAAATAACAAAAACATAACATATAGTGTTTCAATATTTTATTTATAGCTTCCAAAATTATATTTTTTGTATTTATATTTATGTTGAGAAAATTAATTTGTAATACATTTAAGAAAATATAGGCTCTGCTTGACTTTACTGGATGATCATAGGTTTTAACTTCTATGAAATTTTCATTTGCAAGTCAATTGTACATATGATTCTTGATTGTACACTAATCCAAAATAGTACAAATGAAATGGCTTGACATAACCATTTAAACTAGTTGCTAGATATATGTTCCGGTACGAGATTTAGTGAAGCCTGGAGTCAAAAATGCCTTTTTTAGAATCATATATAAGATTCTCAATCTGACCATAATGTTAAAAATTATGCAATCAAGTTCTAAGGTATTTTCTTCTTGTAGTGTGAAGCACATGCTTTAGGGCATTATGAGGCTTCAGCCACAAAACTAAACCACTAAATTAATTTAAAATTAAAAATAACAATGTGATTTTTCTTAAGAATCAATAATAAGTAACATATGACATAAAAAATCAAGCTTGGTTTCCTCTTATACACTAATAAAAAACTTGAGAGGAATCCAAAAGTGTCAAAACAATATATTAAACGTCGTATAGGTACTAAATAATAAGCATAATGTCTAAGACAAACTAAAAAACATAAATAAGAAGTCCAAAATAAACAAATCTGTCCAATCATCAATTTAAATTTAACAAAAAATCTAAAATCATAAACCATGAATTCAATTATCTTTTTCATTCTTATAACTTAGAGAGTCTTCATTAAAATTACCATCATAATTGATTCTTTTCATGCCACTGATTCTTGGCCGTAACAACATCATCACCATCTTCCTAATCATCTTCAATCATCTTCTTCCCTAATCAATAGTCTAAAAAGTATAATTAAAAATAATGATTTAATTGAGGATTATAATTTTCACAACATAAAATTTTATTCTAAAATTATTCCTATGTTTTTCAAATAATAATGAAAATGAAACTTATTTTGATCCTCAACAAACAATTTATCATCAGATGGAATATCGGTGGCAACCAAGGAATCTTCATCATCATCCAAAACACTTTTTCCAAAATTCCATCTTTTATTTATTATAATATATTATGTAAATCAATGAGCTTATCATTAAGTTTCAAGATCTCTCCTCTTGATTAGAAATTGATTACAATTACTTCTCACTTAAAAAGTCTTCATTATAATCATCATCATATTTGTTAACTTTCCCACCTCTCTAATCCGTGTTCTCTTTACAACATCATCACGATCTTCCTCGTTATCTTCAATCTCAATAATCTTCTTCTCTAATCAATAAAGTCCAATAAGAATATTATTAAAAATAATTATTATATTGAGGATTATAAATTTATAACATAAAATTGTCCACTAAAACTTTTTATTAGTTTATTGTGGGCTTGTGTTACCATTGGTTCCCTTGCAATCATGATGGTGAAACTTCAATTTCAACCTCCAAAAATATTTAACATATGATGACATGTCATTACTAGCTAGCCATGGAAACTTCATCATCATCCAAAAGTATTTTCCTATGGAAACTTCATCATCATCCAAAAGTATTTTCCTCCAAATACTTATCTTTTAATTTATTCTTACATGCTGTGTAAACTAATGAGTTATCCTTAAGGTAGTCAAATAATATTCCTCCAAGTAAGAACTTGGTTATAAGT